GCTGCCGCCTTTGGAGGGGGGGCCCTCCTTCCGGTCGAGGCCGCTTCCTGCGCGGCTGGGGAGGCGTCTGTTTCGCTGCTCCGGGGCCCCCAAACCCACATTTCGCACCCCACAACCGCAGATCCTCAAAGGGGTTGCCAGAAACCGGTCTGCGTGGATACCACTGCCCGTCTCCTGGGCCCCGCTCCATGGGATCGCCACGAGACGCGCCCTGGGCCCCCTCACGACGACTACACGAGATTTCCGCCCGGTACCCACACGACAGGGACCCACACAAGGGGGCCGGAAATAAGGACCAGAGTCCCTGCACGTGGAGGGAGGGTCACACCAGAGCACTTTCATGGTTTTCCTACATCAGGGATGCCACCCAATACACGGGGTTCCACGCACCGAGGCAGGAGAGGTTCCTATACATGCTAAGATTGCAGCACCAGGGACACCACAACGTGACCTAGGGATGCCTGACGCACATGCGGCACAGCCTGCCCTGCCCCGCGAGATGGCAGAGAACACCAACTACCTGTGACCTTGTGGTCCTGGCTGTGCAACCCTGTGGTGCTACCTGCTGTCCCAGTACAGCACCCTCTCTGCTCCACTGGGCAGGGGTTTGGGACACAGGCCCTTCATCAGGGAGCTGTGCCTGGACTCACCAGCTACTACCTCTCCCTAAGCCACCCACAGTCCCAACGCTGCCAGGAACAGCATCAGGAACTCAGCTCTGGGTTATGGCAGCCCGGCACCTGGTGTAACTCTGCAAGGCTGGGGACTGCTTATGCATCTGTTTGTTGGCACCCAGGTTGTGGCCAGAACAAGACATGACTGCCTTCCACACTGGCTACAATGTAGGAAAGAGGGGAGCCAGAAAGGCCCAGGAGAAAGGGCAGAGTGAGGCAGTGTGACCCCAAGAGGAGACAACATTCAGCAGAGGCGCCAGATAGGACCTCATTCAGGGGACAGCTCTGGCCACACTCAAGCTGAGGCCCAGGGACAGTCCAGTTGAACAGTACAGTGGACCCTTTTACCCACTGGCCTCTGGGCTGGGGGAAGTCCACGTCCACTTCCTGGCATAGAGGTGACCTTTAGTGTGTGGCCTGCTTTTCCTCACCTCTTGGTGGAGGCTGGAGTGGTCCCCAAACCAGCACACTGGGAGTCCCCACCCAGAGAGCCACCCATGTCTCTGAGCAGGCTGTGTTGCCCCTGCAGCAGGCATGGATGAGGTACCTGAGGCCAGCAGGTGACCCCAAAGCAGGGAGTGCAAGTCAGGGTATAGGATTCTGTTCTGAAAACTAGCTCGCTCTCCACTGTAGACACGTGGACTCCTGGCCCCCCAGCCCCTAGGGGAGCTTCCTTGTCATCCCCTACTGGCTCCAACAACAGGCCTTCTTCACTATGAGGAAGCTGTATGTGCTCATATGTAAGAAAACTGGTAAAGTATTTCCTTGAACAGCATATTTTAAAAATCAAAGCTAGGCTTTGTGGGCCATACCTGTAATTCCAGCTGCTCCAGAGGCTGGGGCAGGAGGGTAGGAAGCTCAAAGCCAGTTAGGACAATATAATGAAATCATCCTGTGTCAAAAATGAAAAGGGGCGAGGGGTGTAGGTTAGGGGTAGAACACCCTTGGGATTGATCCCAGAAAAATTTTTTTAAGAAAAGGAAACAGACTTGGAGATGATTTTCAGTTGGTTGGTTGGGTTTTTTTGTTTTGATTTTTGTTTTTGGTACTAGGGATCGAACTCAGGTCCTTGTGCTTGAGAGACAGGCAGTGGAACCACTGGGCTAAATCCCTGGACCAGTTGTTTGGTTTTTTGAGACAGCATCTGTATATAGCCCAGGCTGGCCTCAAATTCATGATCTTCTTGCCTCAGCCCCCCATATGCTGGGATTACAAGCATACACTAACTGCTTTGCCTGGCTTGGAATGTGGTTTTGTTGGCCTAAAATGGTTTTGTAGACCACAAAAAACTTAGTATTGTGATGGTCTCTTCCATCCAGATGTAAATTCCACAGTTGAGCAAACTGTCATCCTAAGAAGGTGGCTGGCAAGCCAGAGCACTGCTGGACAAGCCTCCAGTCAACGAGGAGTTTCTCTGGCTGTGAACACCCACCTGGGTGGGCAGTGCCCACTGAGAAGTTCCACCTGCTCTGGGCCTTGGGCTGTATAAGCCCAGGCCAGGGGCCAGCACTTGCCCAAGCTGCAAGGCACATGTGGAAGAAGGTGAGTGAGCATGCAGGAGGGTAAAGGCCTTGGTCACAGGGCAGTGTCAGGAGGGGACAGGCAGGGCTTCCAGTTGGCCCCTAAAGCTGCTTCCATCCTCAGAGGACTCTGAGGGCTCCTCAGAGCCCTCTGGGGCAGTGCAGCCCAGTCTGTGGTCCAGGCAGCCATGACAGGGCCCTGCTTTCTCCCACCCACAGGCTTTCCTGTCTCCCCCAGTACCCGCTTGTGCTGTGGGCCAGGCCACCATGCTGGTGGATGGGAGGTGCAGTCCTCAGGCACAGACACATCGGGAGTGATCAGAGAGCCCACCCAGCACATGGGCAGAGGCTGACACCTGCTGTCCCAGACCCTCGTGCTGTCCCCTGTGCCCTCGTCACAGCATGGGCTCGGGCAGTTGAAACACACACTTGTTAAAGCAACATGACAGGTACGGAATGAGATCCAGCAGAATTCCATTCTTTTTTTTTTTTTCCAGTACAAGGATTGAACTCAGGACCTCGCACTTGCCAGGCAGGCATGGTGCCACCAAGTTACATCCCCAGCCAGACTTCCATTATAGTGCGTGAAATCAACCATCAGGTGACAGACCTGCCGGGACACAAGCACGATCATCCAGATCCTGAGAAGCTCCAGATGGCTGGGGCACTGGCCTCAGAGTGGAGGCCTGCAGCCTACAGGGCCAGCAAGTGGGAGATGGACAAGACAGCACTCCAGGACCAGAGACAGGGCTGCCAAGGAGAGAGAAGCCTCTTCCAGGGAGCACAGGCCCCAGCCAGGAAGTGCTCTGTGAGGCTCAGGCCCACAGACACCTTCCCATCATGGGCCACCCTGCATCCCACCACACCTCACACCTAGGATGTGGGAGAAGAGCCTGCCTCTGGGCAGGCACATACCACTGTTGTCAAGAAAGCCGAAGTCACTTTTTCCAAACTTCAAATACAGTCGGGCATGGCCCTACACACCTGGGGTCCCAGCTACACCAGCAGCTGATTCCAAATTCGAAGCTAGCCTGGTCAGTTTAGCTCAACCCTGTCTCAAAAATAACAAAGGGCTGAGGACAAAGCTCAGCACAGTCTGGGTTCAATCCCCAATACCACCAGAAAGGAAAAAAATTAAACAGGAGGAAAAATTTCTCAAGTAACACAAACTTGAAAAACTTTTGAGAAGATTTTTGCAGAGAAAAAGCAGTTTATTCCAGAGGCACAGGTCAGAGTCTGAGACAGGAGGGAGGAAAAGGAAGCCACACCCAGGGAGCCTCTTGATGCCCCCTCAGCCAGCCCCAGGGGACCAAGAAAACCTCCCCCCTGAAAGGCTGATTCCATGGTACCTGACAAATAAGGAAATGTCCAGAGAAGGGTGACCAGGGCACATTTCAGTTGTCCAGGCAACTGAGCAAGATCTTGTCTCAAAATCAAAAAGGCTAGGGAAGAAGCTCAGCAGCCATGCACTTGCCCAGCACTGTTGTCCTGAGTTCAATCCCCAGCATGGGGTGGGAAGGGACGAACGAACCCTGCAGTGCTGGGTTGTCATCGTTGATACCTGGGGGGGGTCTCAGTTTGTACAAAGCGGCAGATGTGTGTCCACATGAGCATGTATGCCACCGTCCCTAGCTCTGTCGCTGGAGGAGGGAAACCCTGCGGCACTGAGTGCACACAGACCCAGGTTTCGATGTTGTCCCCTCTCCTGGAAGGAACCTGAGCCTTGTGGAGAAATGGCTGACCCTGAGTGACCAGGAAAATGTGGAGGGAGGGGTGCAGGGGTCCTGGGGGGGCCAGAGAGGATGGGGAGCTAGTCACGGGTCCAGGCCATAGGCAGAAGGGGAGCACACAGAAGGGTGATAGGGATGGGTCAGGTCTGTATTTTAATTACTAAAATAAAAACATAACTTGTGGTGACCCTCTTGCCTCAGCCTCCCTATTGCTGGGATTACAGGGGGCACCACCACACCCAGCTGAGTGCACAGTTTTGCCTAGCATGTGTGAGTCCCTGGGTTTAAAGCCCAGCACCACAAAAGAAAAAAAAAAAAGGAAATCAAAGTGGAAATCACAAACTGTTTTAAACTGAATGATAATGAAAACATTGTCAATCAAAGTCCCTGGCTGTAGCTGATGCGGTACTTGGAATTTTATAGTCTTCAGTTCACATACAAAAAACAAGAATGTGGTTTTTGCAAAGTGCTGGAGGGACATATTTTTTCTTCTTTGTGTGAACCTGCATTTGCTTGTCTCCTAATGAAGCTGCTGCTGTCAACCTCTCACTGCTCCTTTCTGGCCCCACTGCCTAGGAGGGGCCCCACACACAGCGGAGCCTCAGTGGGGTCATCCAACCCCACACAGGGCTACTTGTTCCACAGCCCTCAGCATGTGCCTCCCTCCTCCTGAGTGTCCTGGAGCCAGGGCAGCTGGCATCACTCTGGGATCCAGCACCCCGCAGGCAGCCCAGAACCACCTCCAGGGTCAGCCGAAGGGACACACAGGAGATGCTGAGCGGTACCCATCCTCGGGGCGGCCATGGACTGCCCTTCCCCCACCTCCACAGTCAGTGGGACCAGAGGGTGGCCGCTGCGGCAGGGCCAGCCAGTGGGCAGTCACCTTACCCAGGGCTGTGCCTGGCTCCCACCCTCCCTGCTTTGCGCAACACCCACGGGGGTGCCCTTGAGAAGAAAATGTGGGTGCACATCTGCCCACCCCAGGGCTGCACAGAGTCCAGTCTGGAAGCCTCCTGCCAGGCTGCCTCAGCTGCTGGACAGAGCCTCAGGGCAGCAGCCTGAGGTCCTGCACAGGGCACAGTGCAGGCCTGGAGGCCAGATGGGACCCAGGCCCTGCTCCCTGGAAGAGGGAGCAAGAGCAGCAGAGATGGGGGGGCTCTGCCCTGAGCAGCCCATGGCTGCTCTGGGAGATGTCCATGGCCTGCAGCAGCCAGCAGGACACTCAGCAAGTCCAACCTGAATGGGCTACCTGCTGACCCTGCGTGCCTGCGTGGGTGCCAGCCCGACCCACCGTCTGGGCTCTATTGCTGAAGTGTCCTGTTCCTGAAGTGTCCTGTGAAAGTGCCTGGAGCTGGCCACAACCTGGCGGATCACAGCCGATGCCCCTGCCCATGCCCTGCAGCCCTCAGCACAGAGGCTCAGCACGGCCCTAACTGTGCTAAAGAGGTCTCCTGCAGGCAGGAGGGAGCTCAGGCCAGGCCTCCCTGAGGGCTCTTGGGCCAGACCCACTGCAGAGCCCTACGGAGTGGGGTGGTATAGTGGCCCTCTCCTAGCCCCAGGAAAGTGCTGGCCAGGACCTTCAGAAGTGGGGTAGCTCCCTCACTGCAGTGCATCCAGGCGCACCAGGTTGGGACACTGTTGGAAACAGCAGGGGAAACTCGTGTGCCACCCACTTAGGAGCTCTGGCACCAGGCTTGCTCTTGAGATGCCTGGGGAGGTGGTACCCCTGTCCGGTGTCACTCCATCACACCAGAGTGAGCAGGGCTTGGAACAGCCAGTTCTTTGCGGCGCTGGCTGGTGAGGGCTGGGTGTCCATGGCGGGTATGGGCAGGAGGGCCTGCAGAGGGGGCACAGGGCAGGGGGGCTCTGAGTTCCAGACTGCTGCGGCCAGTGTTCCAAGACATACCCACTCTGCCCCAAGGCCCAGCTGCTGCCAGGCAGTGGGATCCACTTGGGTCCACCCTCAGGGCCCAGGCCAAGCCCTTCTATGCCCTTTAGGTCCCACAGCTCTTCCAGCCCCCTTCACAGGATCTGTCCCTGGGGCCCCAGCTGGTACAGCCTGGCCTCCCTGCCCCTTCCCACCACCTGTGCCCGGCCTCCAGAGCCGGCCCAGGACTCGCTAGGGCTGTTGGCCTCTAGACCTGGCCCTGGACAGCCCTCTGCCTTCTAGTCCTCCCTTCCCTGCTGTCGCCAGCCAGCCTTGCTGGCAGTGAGCAGCACTGTGACAGGATGTGAATCCCAGCAGAAGCCCAGGGGGCCAGGCGCACTGCTCCAGGCCCTGGCACCTGGGAGAGCTGCCCACCCTGGGGTCCCCTGGGAGGACAGTTGGGGAACCAAGGCCAGCATACCCTTGGGGTTCAGGTAGCAGTGAGGCTGTGGGGCAGGGGAGCTCAGGGAGGTGGAGAGGAGCACGGCTGCCGCTGCTGCGTTCCTGGGCAGCCGTGTATCACAGGCATCAGTGTTACCCCAAGCAATGTCCTCCCCTCCCCACGCTGCTGTGACTGACTAAGAAGAGGCCCCTTCCTCTGAAGTCATGGTCCTGCCAGTGCCCAGTGGTGGGGACAGCAGGGTGGCTCTGGGCTGGCAGCTGTTCTGCTGGGCACCAATGTGGGGAGCGAGCCACCATACAGCCACGCACCACACCCTGCAACCAGGGTCCCCAGACCCACACCTCTCTCCAGGAGGGCCCAGGCCTTGGCAGCCCCTCCCTGCACAGGCCAGGCCCCTTCCTCAGGGCAGGCAGCCTCCTTGTAAATCAAGTCCCACCGGGCCCCAGTGTGCCAGACCCCGCCCGCCGCCCTTGTGCCGTCATTTCTGGCAGGCCCCCCCAAGTGAGCTCACTCATTACATAAGGCATGCGAGCTATTTCTTGGGGGAATGAGCTCCCCCTTCCTGGGGCTCCATTTCCCCTTGCCCTCTCCAGCTGCCAACCACCAACAGCCAAAGAGTTCTGGCCATGGTGGGAGGAGAGACCCTGTCAGGGGATGAGGGGCCGCCCAGTCCCTGGCCTAAGTCCCTGCCACCCCCAGAACAATGGTGCCTGCAAAGGAGCAGGGATAGTTTCTCCCAGAGAAACAGGACTTGGCACCTGGGTTCCTGAGGGCAGAGAGGAAGGAAGAAAGAAAGGAAGGAGGAAGGAGGGAGGGAGGGGGAAGGAGGGAGGAAAGAGAAAGGAAGTGGGAGGAGAGGGGAGGAGAGAAGGAGGGAACGAAGGAGGGGAAAGGAGGAGAGGGAAGGGAAGGGAAGGGGAGGAATGGAAAGAGGGACAGAAGAGAGAAGGAAGGGAGGGGGTAAGAAAGAAAAGGGTACCCAGGCTGGAGGGCAGCATGGCTGAAGGGTGGGCTGTTGCCCTGCCCAGACACTCTCCTCTCTACCTAGTATCCTGCTCCTGTGGCTCCTGCTCCTTCTGAGGGCACCTGGTCCATCCTCTAGCCTGAGCCTCGGTTGCTCCACCAGGTCCTGCCTTTTGGGAGAAGCAGTCCACAGATCCCCAGTGGTCAGGACAGAAGTCCTCCTGGACCCTGTACCTAGCCACTGCCTGGGGTGGATGAGGACCAGGTGCCAGGACCATACCTCATCCCTAGAAGTGGCCCGTCCCAGAGGTGCATGAGGTCCTTGCAGCTACTTTAGGAGAGGGGCCCAGGGCCCTGGGGCCTCCTGCTATCTTTCTGTGGCCTGAGACTGAGAGGACTCTCAAGAACATGGCAGGTGCCAGGGGACAAAGGGCAGCATCCTGCAGGCAGCAAGTGCCATGCATTTCAGCAGCGAGTCTCTCTCCAGCCCTGGTCTGGGGGAAAAGTCTGGCTCCTGGCAGGAAATCCACCCTGCAGAGATGGAGGGGGCTTTTTCCCTGCAACCAAGCTTCCCACTGTGGTCGGTACAAGACAAGCATATCCGGGCCCAGGTGCAGGGTGGCTGTGTGGCCTGTGCTGAGGTGGAGGCCTGGGAGGGCCGGGGAGGCACAGGCAGGTTCCCCTTGGAGGGGAAGACCCTAGGGGTACAGCCACAGGCTCTGCTGAGCTTCCTACTGTCCAGGAGAAAGAGGATGTGTTTGCAGGTGTTCCCTGCCAGGAGCCTGTCCTACAGTCCACACCACAAGTGGGGATGAAGCTCCAGGTGGCCAGCTGCCGGGAAACCAGGGACATGGGCACCAAGGTACCCTGGGCCATGTGGGTGGCAGGGACCCAGAAGCAGCCACAGCTGCCTCCTGCTAGACACAGGTTCGGGTCCCCAAGCCCTTTCTCCAAAAGCAGCAAGAACATGTCTTCCTCTCCTTTCCAACTCAGTTCTTGGAACTTACACCCTCTTGGGTTTGCTATTTTTACCCACCCTGAGCCTTCCGGTCTCCATGGCGACGCCTCCAAACAGCAGATTCCAGGCGGCAATGACGTCACCTTTCCCTTTCCTGCCGCCCAGGCCTTGGAGGCACTGCTATGGGGGCCCAGATCTGCAGGACCGCCCGGCCGGACCCTTCCATGGCCTCCTACGGCCCCCTGCAGCTGAACCCAGGGCACCATGGACCTCAGCCAGGCTTGTAGTCAGGACCCTGGGGACATTGTCACTGCCCCCCTACCCCTGAGCAGCTCTGCCAGGCCCCTTGGCAGAGGGCACATGCAGGCCCAGGATGGCTATGTGTCCCCTGCCCAGGAGTCTGCCCACAGTGGCTACCCTGCAGCAGAAACTCGTCCCCAAGAGGGACAGCTACCATGGCAAGGGCACATACAGAGCCGGGGACAGCCATAGGCTGCCGGTTGGGGACTGCCAAGGTTTCGTGGGCATCTAGCCCTCGGGAAGCCATCAGTCACCTTGGCTACCAGGCCCAGCTGCCAGTCACTCTGCAGTCCCTTGTGTCCCTGTCAGGCCACTGGGGTGGGCCCAGTCCAGGTCGCCTCTAGATGCCAGTCTGTGTCTATGGCCATTTACCCAGTGGCCCCCTCAGGACCCATGTTTTGCTGTGGACTCAGACACCTGCTGCCACAATGGAGAAGTCTTGGCAGAGTGGACAAGTGTGGCCTGAAGGCTCTGTGTCCTCCACTGTGGCCAGGAGGAGCCCTGCTGACCTGGGCTTCTTGACCTGCCTCCTAGCCTTACAGGTGCTAGCCCTGCCTACAAGCAGTCCTGGCTTTTCCTGTGGCCCTCCAGGGCCTACCTCAGCAAGCCT